ATCGCAAACTCGTTCTTTTCTCTCTTCAGGTTATTTTAAGATTATGCGTACCTCAAAGAGGTTTCGGTGAGCTATACAGTAGAACTCTGTGGAGATCGGTTTCATACGTTCAGACCACAGTGAAACGTTTTTCAGTCCTGGCAATGTCACCTTATGTCAGCTTCCGAACAGTCTTTCCTGGGCTACTCAAAAAAGCTTATATCATAAAGAAGCTGAGGTTATTCAAGGTTGTCAGCATAGCAAGCGATGGGCCACCACCAAGTCAGCTCGTTACTATCATAATCGATAGATAGATGAACAACTCATATGAGAAATGGTTCAAAACCATATTGTCTGACTCTCAACACCTTCTCTATCCACAACCTTCCCTCTCAGTTGCTGCATCTCATCAAGTAGGATTAGAGGTCATTATGAAAGATTTTATGTTCCTCCACACAACCAAGTTCAAGAACTGAACAATACCCTATTTGGCTCTATGTGATAAAGGTGAAGTTAAACGTGAGATGTACGACTTACTGTGTAAATAGTATTCAAAAAATGGCTCAATTATTCTCCCATATTTGTAATTTTATGCTAACACTCACTATCCCGATTATCTCGCAGTTTGGTGTTATTAAAACCAATATTATTATTATTATCATTTTACAATTGTGCATCATTTTGACCCTTCCGTTTTTTGCTAATGCCAAAATTTGTTGATGGATATTATCAATAATTTTGGGTTTGTTGTTATTGTTGTGGAGTAAATTAGACGCGGTAATATTGTAGCAAATGCTGAAAATTCCACACTGTATCATAAGCACAGTTTTGGAATATAGCAAATCATTATTATTATGCATTTTGATTCTGTTCTCCTGTTTCCATTTTAAAGTGTTGTTGTCCACGAACCTGGTACCTATCCAGATCTGGAACGCGAAGGTCTTCATGTGGAACCAGGAAAATTGAATGAAATCAATTACAAACCAGTGCTGTGGAAACTTTTAGACACTCCACAAAGACCATGTCGACAGGAACACATAGATCGTGATCCCGAACTGGCACGAATCACAGATCATACTTTAGCCGAATCCCTAAACTCTGATTATGCCTACGCATATCATGATCTGAATGTTTCCTATAGATACACTCAACCCCAGTGTATATTATTTCATCAACAAGAGGATATTATCAAAGAATGTGGTTGTCAATATATCTATCACCCACGTCCACAATTTCCGTCGCCTGATCTCCCCTATTGTGGATCGATTATGGAGAATGGTATCAATGTGATGGTGTTAAGTGAACGCGTCCAGTGTCTCACATCTGGCCCGTTGAATGCTACAGTTAGACAACATTATGAAAGAACTATCTGTCAGCCAAGATGTCAGTATTACACTTATGAGAGTACAATCTCGGTGACAACATGGAGAGCTGTCGACTGGCAACTTCACTGGCTTCGGCAGTTGAATAGAGCTTTTAAATCAATGCAGCATGAAGCAAAACAACATGGGGAAGACTGGAATATTACAAACAGTCATGGATTCCAACGATGGAAAGAATACTATGAACAAGATAATCTGACAAATGTAAGTTAATTTAATCATATTCACACTATTTGTGTCATGAATAAGCTTTGATCAAGCAAGAACGACTAATGTGTATCAGGACAGAGAGATAATATGAGCTGTTTTGGATTGAACTATAAAATACTAATCGACTGCGATGAGTGATTGCATACCACTCGTATCAACTAGGAATGCACTCTAGTCGAATCAAGGTAATTTAAGCAGAACGGGACGGCCATATCGCTTATGTGATGTGAGCTCAACAATTATTGTGATTTCGTGGATTATTCTTCTCATAGTTGGCTACAAAACCTGAATAATACAGCATAAATGTAAATCACATTAAAGAGATTTCAATGTGCTTTCTCCTTCGTGATTATCATCATAATTACTTTTATTGTTTTATCCCGTTGCTTTCCGCGTGTTTCACAGGGCTTCAAGATTCAGCTTTGCAGTTTCAGTGGCAGTGGTGCTTTCTACGGGGTGAAGTTCTCAGCCTCAAACTCAACCTACCCTCTTTTTAAGGCTTTCATCCGCCTGGGGGAAATAAAGGGATTCGAACCTCGGACCACGCGAGTGGTTGGTGAGGATTCTGCCTCTGGGCCGCCACCGATAACAAGGAGTAATCAATAAGAACTATCATATTATTATTATTCCCATGGGTTCCAAGTAGACCATATGGCTTCAGCCGGAGGAGATCGCTTGTTCTCTCCAACAATCTCTCATCTCCACCCCCAGCACCCAGTCTACTCTGTGTTACACTAGGATCGCTACCCAGCTTGTCTTTTCTCATCTAGATTCCACTTGAGGGTAGGCTTTGTGTTACATGTCGGTCAACCGTATACCCGACCCGTCTCCTTTTTATTCGGAATATTTGTTGAGTAGGCAATATGCTGTTGAGTGGTTCATTTCCAGTCATTCACTCAGTTCATGGGGATTAACAGCGACGTAATTGTGGAATAATGTAACTTATTAAATTATATTTTCATGCCACTTTTACGGTAATTAAACGAATACTCTTCTGGAAAGAGTCAAAAATCAGTTCCAGAGTAGAAAAACATTTTAATTAGAAAGAGTATAAAATGTTGAATAGGTTATGTAACTAAACTAACTGCCTTCATTTAGTGGGCTGTTGAAAAGCACAGTGGAATACTGGAGAGTTATTTCGCACTAGTTTGGAACTCTTGAGCAGCATGCACTCACCACACGCAATTAGATCCACTATACTACAGTTATAATGAAAATCTCGTGCACAACCATTCAATCAGTGGTACCTGACTCATTGACCACTACTTGCAGTCCAACTTCGAACCCTGGAGTTTGCCTCGTACTTCTAAAGCGTCACTATGTTTCCTGGATTTACCTTGTAAGACGTTGTGACAAGTATGAAGTCCAACAAGATATCGATTGCCAGTGGAAATACCCATCGCGGATGAGACTGGCTGGTACCAGTGGCGCTAAAGTCAACTTGATATGATTATGAGCAATAGTTTATGCTCGAAACGTCATCAGTTAATATTACTGTACAACACTGTGTGATTTATCAAAATAAAACCTTATCCATAATGGACTCGAATTCAAACCTTAGTAGTAGGTGCCTACTACTGATGATTAGCGACCTAGAACGAAACAGCTGCCCCGTACTCCCACTTGGCTTTCGAACGGTTCTCTAACTCACGTCAGCTTGTGGTCAAACTTGATACTTTGTTACTGTTAGTTTGATCATCAAGGTAGTGAGTACAGGATTCATCAATGTCTCATTATGCAAACATAAACTCAGTTTTATTTCATTTAATGCCGACTACCTCAGAGAAAAGCATCAGCGAGCTTGACTTCTTTTGCCTGTTGATTATTTTCAGTGTCTTTTAGTTGGATGATTAGTGTCCAGAAGATGTCATGGACTTATGTTGCTCATAATTTCTATCATCAATTACTCCTTGTCATCACGGAGAAGACAGAATATTTGAAGTCTCTGTATGTAGTTGAAATTTACCTTGTACTGATCAAGCTGTAGTCATTTATGAAAAGAATAATCCTCCAAAATAGTAATAAAGCTCATATTATGTCTGTCCTGGTACACAGTTGTGGTTCTTTAATATTAATAGTAATAGCTTTATTCTGAAAAAATTATTAAACTATGTACAAAATTTTCAGACGAGTTGACTGCACGATATCGTGTGACACAGTTTTATCCAACCTGAACCGCAACCAATCCACCATCATTATATCTCTTCTTCGTATCCTTCGAGAAATACACGACGACATTTCGCTGAATGCCAATTATAAGATGTCCAGAAGTACATTTCGGTGAACCAAGGACACAACACAGAGACAGTTATCTCATGTATTGGGATAATTTGCAATCCAATGAGGATAATACTTCTTACCATGTTTAGTAAAAACGTATGAATGAGCAGATTGTGGATGTTCTAATTACTCGCCAGAGTAATCAACTGATACTTTTAGATGTCATATTTTACTAGTTTTGAACAGTTTGAATAAGGGAAATTATATGCCATATATATTGATGGAGGCTTTTTTCGGTAGGTAGACCGAGTTTTAAGTATGCCGCCAAGAGCAAAAGATCACCGTTTATGAGAGTATCAAGCAGGTTACATTTTATCTCTGTTAGTAATAATTCTGGTTTCAAAAGAAATTGGAAATTGACTTGAAAACTGCTAATATGACTTACTAGTCATCAGGTTTTAATTGGTGGATGCTGACTAGCAGTGAAATCCAAGCCGTGCATTTCGTCCTACTTGTGACTCTTCATCTGGATGTACCTGCATTCCCCAATGACTTATGATGTTCCAGATGACGAGTCCCAAATAGGACGAAATGCGCATCCTGGATTTCACTGCTAGTCACCATCCAACAATTAAATTCTGACTACATGTCGAGACATCGTCGAAGCATCTGCACATGAAGCAGACATGTCAACTTAAGACCTAGCACTTCGGTCCAATCAATCGACGGGAAAATCGAAAATTGAAGTAAATAGTCATCAGGTTATTTGAGTAGTTTTTACTATGTGTGCAATCGTCCTAAGAAGTGGCTAAAACCAGGTGAAAGAGGATTAATCATAGGAGATAAGATAAGTTTAAATAGGAGTAAATACTGATTATATTGTGACCGGATAACATTTAGGCTGATAACCTTGGGCGAACCGTTATCATTGGTTAATTTGTTGGTTTAACTATCTGACGTATTTAGTATTTGCAATTAATGTACTTTTGACTAATACAAACAATATGATCTCACCGGCACGAATCAGTCTGTCTGCTAATCTTAATTTTCGTGGACTCTGTTTTTATTCAGAAGTTAATCGGGGATCAATTACTGATGTGGAAAACACAAATCAGACCTATGATTATCACGTTTTCACTAGCATAATATGTGAGAAGGTCTATAAACATGTTCTGTTAAGAGGATTCTTACTACAAGATAAAGTTACTTCATAAGAAAGATCATTTCTGAAGGCCACTTCCTTAGGATTTATGGAATAGCTAATGTTCGAGAAGTTAACTGCATTTCACTTCATATCGTACTTTGTGCAACATTATGTGGACTCAGTGGAACACCTTCTGTTTCCAATATGATCTTCAGAGGTGTCATTTTGGTTGCTTCTCAATCACTGGAGAGGCTGACACGTGATGTAACTCAAGGGATCACATTAGTGAGTTTCCATTAAATACCTCATATTTGAAGAAAACAATAATCAACGAAGATACTCTTTCTTTTCAACCACTTTATTATCAAGCTGTACAATCGTAAGTTCTTGCGTACAATTTTTCAGAAACTATCTCCTATGGTGAAATTTAACCGAAAGGTGTGGATACTTCCACTTATTATTCTGTTATTTATTGAACAGTTGAGTTCCCAGTAGAAAAAAATGGCTTCGACCTGAGAGCTACCCTACTTCGTTCTATTCTCTGCTGTCTTCTCCAGCTGGCTGGCTGTACGACTGCCTATAGATTCTCATAACCTCCTCCTCTACACACGATCTCCTCCATGTCAACCTCACACCGGAGACATACTTATCGTTTCCTATTTCTGCTCCACACAAGTGATGGCCTGGCTAGTGTGATATTTCATTCTTTCTTCTCATCAAATCATGTACAGTCCAACTCCATTTTCTCCTACATATGTGTTGAGCAATCGCTTCTCACTTGGTCTCTCTCCCACAACTACCAATTGCTGATTCGTTCTCGCCAACTATCTCATTTTCAATTTAGAGGCAGCAATGGCAGCTGTCGATATAGTTCCGCCCTAGCTTATTTGAAATGCTTTCGGTGACCCATGTGCAGTGCAAGTTTCTCAGCCAGGTAAAAAAATTGATCCGTTAACTGAATTAACATTGGGTAAATTACTTTTACTGGCTGAGTGCAGACGATTTCCAGACTGGTTTCAGTCTGATGAAGCTGTCTATCTTGTCTTTTCGATTCTAGCTGGTTTTGACATCACCAGTGGTGTCATCTGTGGTTGAAATGATGCTTCCTAGCTGAATAAGTGAAGGAAGTGACATCTGACAAATCTCTTCCGTTGATAGTAATTGCTACTGGTTGTTGTTGGCTGGCTGGTCGGTTGGTCATTTTCATCGCCTCCGTCTTTTCTATGTTCACTTTACGTGTGATCCTTTCTATACTACCCAGCTAGCCTCTTCAGCCAGTTTGTTGTTTTTCACTTGCTCGTATTCTTCGAGTTTGTGTGACATTAGACATAAATCATCCATGCTCGTAATCCAGATCTTCTGGAATCTTCTTGTCACTCCAGTGTATTCCTGTCCTCAGGAATGGTTTGAATGTCAATCCTCTCATCTGTATATTGTATTTGGTAAATATGTACTCCATTGAAATATTCGATATGATGTGATATGATGCTATAAATCTTCACCTTCAATGACTTTGTATTTTTTTACCCACTAAATGACCACCATTAGCTAAATTTGACACAAAAAGTGGAGCTTCGAATGGCTTTTGCCTATCTTTTGGCAAACCATGATGGTCTAAGCTATCTTGTAGGTTATTATGCCCGACAGGAGGACCTAGGTGGATTGCTAAATGCACACTGGTTTATTGTAAATAATCTAGCTTATTCTTCGTTTGGGTCTCCGATCATTCCACCAATAGAAAATAACAAACATAAAAGTCTAGTGAGCAAAATGTCACTCCCTAGACTGTCTTTGCAACGAAGGGACAAGTTTGAGCAGAGAATGAACAATAAACATTGGTGCAGGATAACAGGGATCCATAGAATTTCGTTGATTTATCTCGTCAGCTGCATACAACCTGTAACCTTTGATAAATATATGTCAGTGTAAGATTTTAGTGTACTTTTATCTATCAACAGGCGTATGACAAGGTCATAGTGAGATTATACTTAAGGATTAGAAGATAGTCGCATTATTACACTGCATATATATATGTACATCGGGTTAGAGAGAAGATTCTAGAAAATTAATTGACAAGTTTGTTGTTAGGGTGGTAACAAAAAATCAGTAACAATTAAGTACTTCAGTTAAGGAAGATCGTAATTTGGTGTGCAAGAGGTCAAATGGAAGGCAATGATGTAATTTGATGAGTACAACTCATAAGCTCAAGAAGAATCATCCATTACGAAAGTCAAATGGAATAGAGTTGGGGGAGGAGGAGTTGAAAAGATAAGTTAATCACATTAGGAAACAAAGAGTTATTAAGGAACGAGACACCAGGGTAGTCGGAGTTCAGCGGCAGATTCATTTTGGAAGCATAGGTCAGGTTTCAGTCTTTTATTGAGATAGCTTCAATAAACCGAAGAAGACTTCAGCTGTCTTGTCTGTTTATTATTTTGAATGATGCCAGTGCGTCTACTCGGTATCCTGTGTTTGTGATTGAAGAGCTTAAGCTGTATGTCCTCTTTGACCGAGAGCTCTTTGGTAAATGTTCTAATAATCTGACGTAGGCCTTTATTCCTTCTGTTCTTCCGATGTGAGTGCTCCTGTAGATACATGTGAATTGCTATAAACAGTTGTAGGTAACATATGAAGGATACCTGTAGATCTTTGACTGCAAGAACGAGGGAAATGTTCGTAGCAGAGAGACTAGTTTTCCCGTAGGATCCGGCCTGGATAGGTCTGCGCTTGATCTTTTATAAAAGTGAATTCTTATATGAAATGACAAGTTCTCCCAGTAAATTTTAACTTGATATGTAATGATTTCTATATATTTTTCTCACATGATTTTGTATCTAAACCTTTCTTTTCGATGTTTTTGTATTTCTCTCCTTTTGTCTGCATATCTCAAGATCTCTTCAAATGCGATCAATGATCTCAATTTAAAAGGCGATAATTTCGCTTATGTGGTGTTGAAACGACGTGCTAGAGATGTACGTGTCAGTCAACAAAAATTAGTTCTAAGCATCAGTGTCCTGTTGAGTCGTATTGGTGGTCTATGTTCATTGAGTATTGGACTAACTGCGGCATTTGTTGTTGAACTCATCGAGTTTGCTTATCGTCTGAGCACTATGGAAAGAACAGACTCTGGAACAAGTCATAATAATAGTAATAGTAACAACAGAAATCATACCGGTATTAACGACCCTGATAAGGCCAACAGGATGCATCCAGTGAATGAAGGAAGAAATGAAGCGTATTTGACATCGGTTTAAGACAATATCTCACGCACCGACTATAAAACTGATTAGATTTCATTTTACTGTATAAATTTCTCATGTTTCAACTTTTTCATTTGAATTTCCCTCCAACATGTACAATGTTCAATGTATACATTCTGTGTTCAATGGATATATTTGTAATTGAATCGAATCAGTCAATGTGGATAAAAGGCTTTGCATTGAATGTTTTGAAGAAAATACCTCATATAGAAATGAATTTTCATTTGAAGTAAATAACTTATGAGTACTCATTACATCATTTCTTGATAGGCATACCTCAGTTAAAACTTATTCATGTGAATGTTTCTCTTTTGTGAATATCGTGCGTTGCATAATAATAATAAATTATATTCATATGCATCAAAATTATCCCGTAAAACTGATATTCATATGTGTATTTTCGTGAGTTTTTCTGTAAAATTCGAAACAAAATGCTTAGAAACATTTTTTTGTTTTCTGATTTTGAGCTAGCAAAAGAGTAATGCATCAGAGGATGGGCTTTTGGGGTCTTATAGGGTAATGACCACAGAGATCAGGAATATTTGGACATCTGGGTTTGAATCGCCTTTGGGAAACTTCTCAACCTCATCTTAGTTCATTAGGTAATAGTGAAGCGTCATTTCGTACTGAGTTGATCTGGAAATCAGTTTGTAACCCCGGTGAATTCGATTTGATGTAATATCGGTTCACCGAAGTAGATAACCATAATTCCGGTGGTTTGAACTGACTCGGTTCTTTGAGCTGAGTTACAAAAAAGGTTTCAAGCCCTGCGCTTCACATACAACGTAAAGATGAGAGGAAAATAGCTTTTGATAAGAGGACCAATTTGTCAGAGTATGTTTGTGAAAATCTGGTGGAACCATCCGATAACAAATGAGTCGTCATCACTTAATATTCTGAGAGTAGGAAGGGTGAAAATCGAATGAAATTTCACATGAAAAGAGAGAAGATAATATGTGGACAATGTAAATAATGAAACACACACAAAAAATATTCATCACGTTGTTCTTCTTCTTATTCTCTTAGGTTTTGAGTGGAATACAGGTCTTCGAAAACATTTCTCTGATGACAGAAAGATTAAGCGAAGAAATATTTACTTTTCAGTTAGATCCTCGTCTCTGACTCTACTCTAATATATTCTGTATAGCATTTTTATTACAATACACAACAGTTTACTAATCGAGTGGCGATTTGTTTGTTAACAATAATTAGTTAGTGTCAACATGTCAATGGGTTGATAATTAATGAAGAAAATTAATATACACAATTGAAAGGTAGAAATGGTTACACCACGTGGATTGCATAATGAATAATTTTGGAGAAATGAAGAGTAATTAAAGAATAAGCGTGTGCACAGGTTGATCACGTAACAGAATGTTAAAGAAAATAAAACGATTTGGACACTGATAATTTGTAAGTAAAGATGAAATGGTCATAAGTGCTCACACAGCTGAAGTAATAGGAATCCACCTGAAGAAGCCAAACCTGTATATTCAGAAGAAATTTGTACAGCCACCTTCCTAACCTTGGCCATCGTTACATGAATGTATAAACAGGACTACTTTGCCCCCCTTCCCCTAATCATTTAAGAATTGTAAAAATTATAATTGTCCAAATTATTTGAATATTTTCTGACTACTTCATCTTTACTTACAAATTATCAGTGTCCAAATCGTTTTATTTTCTTTAACATTCTGTTACGTGATCAACCTGTGCACACGCTTATTCTTTAATTACTCTTCATTTCTCCAAAATTATTCATTATGCAATCCACGTGGTGTAACCATTTCTACCTTTCAATTGTGTATATTAATTTTCTTCGTTAATTATCAACCCATTGACATGTTGACACTAACTAATTATTGTTAACAAACATATCGCCACTTGTTTGGTAAAT